AGCCTTCTTTGACAGGTTTGACAGAACTCCTCATTGTCCCCCTCCTGATTTAGTGAAACTGGTGCAAACCCCTCTTGGCCACTTACTTTGATTTAAAGCAGGCTTATTTCAGTTTAGTTTAAGTCAGCTAATGAATTAGTTCGAACTGGAATAAGTGACTTTTAAAGCAAAGAAGGTTTGCACTAGTTTAACTAAATAATATAAAATCATACCTTTAATTAAATCTGCAACTTTCTGATCTAGACCCTTATCTAAGGGTCCAGATTTCAGACCCCAGTAACTTGGGCTCCCTGAGCTGCAACTTGAGGAGTGCCCCTCAGGGAATATGTTCCTGAAAGTGAAAATTTACTCTCTAAGCTGAACTGAGGTCATTTTTTTTTCTTTACATGAGGCCTTCCATGTTTGTTGTGTGTCAGTAATTTCTCTCTATCAAATGTGCTCAATTTACAGGTAGAATGATAATTTTTTTCTTAACCGCAAACTCAACCTGATTGGGCTTTCTCTATCTCATACATAATCACCTGTTACAAAGGTTAGGTCAGCATGACAGACCACTGTCTTTGACCTACGCCTTCAAGGACACCTGTGCTATAAATAGATTTCCATAAAAGTGCAGCTGATGGGAGTTTACTCAGCAATTCCAGTGATGGTTTCAGGGTTTTCTTGTTTGATTATTTGTTTTTGTTTTTTTCCCAGGTTTTACAAATACTGTGACCAGGGTCCCAGGAGGACCAGCTGAGGTCACTCAATTAGGTTAACTGCAAAGAATAGGGCAGACAATCCCCAAAGCTGGTGGATATTTTCAATACTTAGATTTACCAAGAAGGAATAGAATTTAGCTCCCTCTCTACTGGTCTGTTGATTCTATGAATAACAGCAGTTATTAAAAAGCAGTGAAAACCTACTTTTGTTACTGTAGTCAGTAGAGATGAAAAGGCTCCCAGGAAGCAGATCTGCTGAGTAAAGGTGTCACTTTTTACATATGAACTCTTCAAAGTATAACTGCACTCTAAACCAGCATCCTACCCGAGCGCCTAGTTAAGACACCCATTGCTTTCTGGAGCACCCATGGAGTCGGCATCTATGGGCTCACCCCTGGGTAGGGTACTCCTACTCAAGCTGGATCTACACTGGTGGCAGTGGTTTCAGTGAAAAACAAAATTTTCCTACTTTCTAATTGTCTTCTGTAACATAGCAACACCAGGACAGAGTTCCACCCTGATGGAGACAGGCACACCTGAGGAGTTTGTGTCAGGAAGTCATCTCAGGTATTATAATCCTTATTTCTGCTTTGGAAGTTCTGAGGTGGAGAACCAGGTGATGGGAGGACAGGGAGACTAGCTGTGAAAAGCCTTCATCTGATTAATCTACCTGAGTGAAAGCTGCGAGGTTGTACTGTAGGCTGTATTATTAGAGCTGTGAGTCTTGATTAACAGAGTACAGAAGACACACTTTAGTTTGCCAACAAAGACTGTTTATTGCCGCACCAAGCATATAGATAAATACAGAGCAAATATTGCTGCTTGTAACAAGCAAGTGGGTCCTCATGGCTTGCTTTTGGCAATTTCCATATCAATCTTTCCCATCACCTGCCCACACATTAAGTCACAGCTCCTCCCATTTTGAGTCTTCAATTTCTAGCTGAGTTTGTCCCCCTAACCAGTTTTTAAAGCCCTGTAAAAAGGTCAGCTGGCCCATAGCCAGCCTATGAGAGGGTGTTTCCCTTCTTAAAACTGCTCTAGAGGCAACCACTTTTTCTAGTTGTTTTCAGGAGATAAAGCAATCAGTGGTTTCCTCTCTGAAGGTCTTGCTGTCTTTGTGCTCCTTTCTGCACAGGTACGTGCATGCTCTAGGAAAGGCTAGAATGCTACAACTGTGACTACACCCTTTTTATTTCTTTTCCTTGTTCAATGGCAAGGTATGCTCCTATCATGGTAGTAATGTCATGGAAAACAATCAGCAGCTAAGAAAAAATATTTCTGTGCATTATATCTTCAAAGGTGCAGTTCTGCATTTGCAAAACCCCAATTTGCACGTAAATCAGGAGTTGAGTAGATGCAAATGGAGTATGCATAAAAGTGGCGTTTGTTCTGTTTTTGGAAGATTTTGGCCTAGTTAACTGACTTCTAAGAATTCTTTTCAGGCTTTTAAATTTCTTCCCATTTCAGTGTTAATCTTTTTACAGACCAACCAATAAATCTTGTGAATTCCAAATTGCCTTCTGCTAGGTTGTCATGCTGCTGACCATGTCTTCAGGTTTTTTTTGGTCTGCTGTCCTCTGCACATGACTGCTTTTCACGAGACAGATGGTCGGTCAGAAGCCAAGATATTTGCCTTTTGGTTAATATTTATATAAAAATCTCTTATGATCAATTTTTTTTTTTTTTTTTTTTTTTTTTTAACACCACGCTCAGTGAAAGCTAAGTGGCTGGAGCTGGTAATCTATTTAAGTGGTAACCATGGAAAATGTGACCCCTTCCTTAACCCTCTGACCAACAGTGGTTTGGTTTGGTGTTTTTTAGAATGGAGTGGCTGTTTGTAGAATGGCTAATAGCCAGCATGGCACTAAACATACGGTAGTTAGTTTGTGCAAAGTACAGAACATACTGTATTTGTATAATTTAGTATTTACGTGCTGCTTCTAGATGAGGGAAGATACCATGCTAAATTGTGGAAAATATTTTATTGTTTGTTTGGAGAGGACTGAGAGTTTTTTTGCACTAAATACCGTGCCCTGCTCCAGTACACTGGGCTGTATATATCATGTAGAAGGGTAATGACTGAAATGACAGGCCAGCTACTCAGCTGGTGTATCTCAGTGCAGTCCCATATGTTTAGGAACAGGCTAGACTAGATGCTTTTTAAAAATAGGAATGAATTTTGTCATCTTATGAACAACAGGCCGTCACAGACTGGACTAAAGGATGATGTCCCCCCAAATGCTAATGGGGAGAAAATAAATCTTCTTGCCAGGCAGGTTAGATTTCAATGTTCAGTCCTTAGGCCTACTGCCAGCCTCCAGGTACTTTTCCTAATAATCAGTCAGGGATGTCTATTTCTTCGTGCCTTTTATTTTAATATTTTCTCTTTCTATAAAACTGCCAAAACACAGTCTTTCCTTTAAGATAACCTGAAAAGCGTTCTTAGCTGGAGCAGTTACTGAATAGAGCTGCAGGGAGAGAAACTGAACTCTGACTTCAGCGAGGCAGAGCCTGGAACAGGAGGAGGTCTCAGATACTGAAGGAGGCTGTGATCTCCCTGCCTACACAGTATAACAGGAGGGTCTGGCAGCTCAAAGGGTCTGGAAAGTTGGTAGATTTCTCCAGCCTGGGATTCCAGCTGAGCGGTGCCCAACTGACAGGGGTGCCACCCTTCTCCAGCCTCCCCAGTGTTACACTGGGGTATGGCCAGAGGGGGACTTTCATCCAGCTATTCATGGCTGGTAAAATGAACCCTGGAGGCCACAGCCAGCTGCCATAGTTTAAAGCAGCTTGGTGGTCATCCTAAAGTAGGCCAGGCCCCAGAACCAGAAAGCCACAACCAGTTCCTCTGTGCCTTCCTCCCCCCATCTGTGCCTATCACATACTGGGCACCCTTAGAATCTGGCCCTGTGTGTCCAAGAACAGTCCCAATCTAAAGGAAGAAACCTGGATAGCGTAGAAATCTAAAAGTTGGCTAGTGTCTGAACAAAAAGGGGACACACCATGCATGCAGCATCATGGGTATGTACAGCTACTAGATTTAGAAATTTTCAGATGTTTTTTGTGTTCTCTACAAAAAATGCACTATGTATTCTTCTCACTCTGATATAATTTTGCTTGCTATCATGGCAGGTTATTGGAGATTAATTTTGTTTAATTTAATTCTGGCCAATGTAATAGAATACTGACCTTGACCATATAAATTCATGTAATTACTTTTGTGTAATTTTCAGACATGGTAGTATTATTGAATATGTCGTTTCTACTCAAGCACTAGTTATTACCATATTTTCTATTTTTGTGTGTGGTTCTACTCCTAATGTTACACTACCTCCCCCAACCACTGCACATATATCTTTTGACTGACAGCAGGATATTTCTGGATATACCAAGCTATTCAAGAACCAGTGTGCTGGGAGCCCTAGGCTTTAAACTTACATGGCTTTCTGAAAGGCTACCTTTCTTTTTTTCATCCCTCCCTTCCCTCTTATTAACGGTGTACGGACAGGTGGGGGGTGGAGGGGAGCCCGCACTAGCTACTCATTAACTCCCTGTGTAGGCACTCATATTGTGCACTGAGTGCCTTTGTGCTCAGGAGCATAATGCACTTTGGCTAAACTGCCCGAGGGCTCTCTTAGTGCGCAGTCAGTGTCCCCACATGGCGAGCTAGTGTGGAGTAGCTAATTGAGTACCTAGTGCACTTTAAAGTCACATTTTAGCTTATTTAGCATATTAGCACTAACATCCCCATGTAAACATGCCCTAAGTATAACTTCCATCTGATTGGGTACCACACCAGACCTCCAACAGGAACCTTTCTGTCCTTCTCTATGTAAGGTTCACACCACAATGATACCCACCATCTGAGTACATGAGCAGGACGTCTTTTGGAACACTGTTTCTTATCCAAACTGGTCAGTAGGGGGTTTTGTGCTATCTGCATGATCCTCTCCATCCTTCTAAAATTGTGCACATCCCCTTATAGATGCACTTTGCCTCTACTATCTTCATATTCTTGGAAGATTCATTAAAAGGCTATCAGTGTGCTGAAGAAGCACTGAGCAGGGGAGGACTATGAACCAGTATGTAGACATCTGTGCTCTGCCACATTGGCTAGGAGAACATGACAACCTGGAGATAGCCACAGGTTCCTCATTATGTAATCTGGAGGAAAAACTAAAACTAGATGCCTCATTAGGAAGAAAAAATCATATGCAGTGATAACTCATTAAAAATCCTACTGGATATCTCCATGAAAAAATAAGTTGGAGGGACAGAAGATTGATCACCCTGTCTCTCTCAAACTGATACTTTTGCCTTTTATTGAGAATTACGTGGAACATAGATATTTGTGAAATATACACCAAAGTACAAAGGAAAAGTCAAACCTTGAAATCTTAAGGTGTATCCCACTGTTCCCATTAGCATGTGCCTCATCCGTTTGCCCTTGAGATTTCATCTGACATGTTATGTTCCATCAGAGGACAGAAAAGTTATTTTTTTTCTAATTCTGATAATAAGCAGCTACTCCAACTATATCAGGCTCCCCCCCCCCCCAAAAAAAAAGACAGAAACCTTAATTTAAAAGTACAAGGCTTCACCGTCAATCATGCTGAAAACCTCTGAGTCTTCGGGTTTATAGGATTTTTTGTTTTACTTTTCCATCCTTAGTGATGAATGTGGTTAATTTTAAATTAAGCACTAATGAAAATTCTTGTGTAAGCCAGAAGTGGTATTTTATATCTAACTCCAATGCGGGAGTGCTGATTTGTGAACTACTGCTCTTCAATCATGTTAAAGCCCATCTCAAAGTGGGTGACCCAACGGGCGCATACATGTGGCAACGGACCAGTATGTGCATTTCATTCTGTCCTTGTAATTTCCCTGTAGCTTCCATTTCTGTAAGCCAGCAGGTAAGGAACTAGACCAGAATCTTGCCCTTTAAGGAAACCGGACTCTTGACAATTTCAATCCCCTGCCTCTTTGGAAAAGGGGAGCGAGAAGGAACAGAGCCATATGCACAATCAGAACAGATCCCACACCTGTTGTTTGACAGAGAACTGGGATTTGAACTATTAGATCCTGCAGCCTAAGTTTGGAATGATTGATTCCCTTCCCTCCCTTTTTCTGTATTGTGGAATATTTAAAAAATAAAAATAAAAATGGGGGGGGGGCCCAAATTCAGACCTGGTGTATAGAGTTGCAATCTGCTTACCGTAGGTCTGAATTTGACCCATAGCTAAGTGTCAGGAAAGGTACATTTTGGATATATCCTATCAAGTAAGTATTTATTCAAATGATTTGCTGCACTTCTCTGACTGAAATCACTCTGTCAGAATGGCACATCTCAACCTTACAATACATTTAAGACTTCATACACAAGTATTACTTGGAAACTGGCTTTTAAATATTAATTTACAAGAGGAATGTAATAAGATCTTATTTTTTCCCCACTGCATTGCTTTTATTCACTGGTCAGTGAGGGTTCCTCCGTTAATCAGTGCTCTTGCTCAGCACTTGCCAAAGAGGAGTTCTTCGAAGTCCTACAATACTAACAGCCTCCTGAGTGGTAACATTCTCTCTCATTTCATTCTTGTCTTTTCCATTTCTTCAGAACAATCTCACTGTGTGTGGGGTTATTTTGTTGGCAGAACCCTTGCTCATATGTGCCACTGTCAGCTACGATCGTACAGCACTGGCTCTCAGCGGCAGTACTCTCGTTCAATACTCGCCATGAGCTCTTCTTCAGAGTAATCGTACGATATGGGGGATTGCATCTCGGGCTTCTTGTTACTTCTGACTGGAAACCTGCAGGATGAGACAACAAAGTATCTTTACTGTAAAGGAAAATCAAGCTCTGTGAGACATAGTAAGCCCCATATCTCTAACAGGGAATGAGAAACCGCATTATTTGTGTGTGCAAAAGTCAAAACAAACTCACCCATCTTACTGAACCATGGATTCTATAATGGTAAGCAGGCCTTAGTTTTCTGACCAAAGACATGAGGTGCTCATTAGTGATCTTTGGGTAACAGTGATTTCTGAAACAAGCACCGAGAAGAAACTGGAATGATTTTCGCTGGTGTAATCGGAAGTGGAATGTTCATGTTACGTACGCTGACAATCCTAGAATTCACTCCTGCCATTTCCTGCCTGAGCTAGGAGGGGTGGGAGAACAGTGGAGAGGTTTTGACTTTGCAAAAGTTACCACAAACAGTTAACTCTACCAGGTAGGCCTGTTTTACCACTCCACAGAACAGACAGCAGCCTGTTGGGCAGGCAGCTTGGAGCTTCTCCAGGCTGCAGATCTACACACTCTTTTGAAACCATGGAGAGTTGGAGGGGAAAGACCCTGGGCCTCTAGGCTTGTGTTCTCTTGAGTGCTCACAATCTTGTACTCCCTGTGTCCTCTTGCCCCCAGAAAGCATAGGGGGACACGGGGCCAGCTTTGGCCCTAAAGAAGAAGCTCCATCTTGCTAATAGTGTTTAACAGCACACACATCATTGAATACGGAAGTAACTGTCTTCCCAAATATTGCATGCAGCGTTAGCCCAATGATTCAGGGGCACAATTCCTGTGGCCCTAGTATGGGTGCTTGTGTCTGTGTGGGGCAGAGCCTAGGAGCACATTTCAGCACAGCAGAAACAACTTCTTCCCCCATGCCCTCTTTATCTGAGTAGTGGCCTTAGCCCCCTACCAGAGCGCAGGGAGCCCCCTCCCTGCAGGCCAGAGACAGGAACTTGCTAGGGGCCTGGGGGCATGGAGGTACTGTGGGACGCTGTCTGGGGGCCGGTGCACATGTGGTAAAATAAAAAGACTTTTGAAAAAGAATTGCATGATTTTGAACTCTTGGGGTCAACAATACTGGATTAATCAAGAAATCCTGTATTCTAATCCTTGTTCTCGCATTATCTCCCTCTGTGGCATCAGGCAAGTCCATTTGCTTCTGTGCCTCAGTTTCGCCATTTGTCAGTGAGGGATAATATGTACCTAGCCCACAGCAGTGCTGGGGATGTTAGTTCATAAATGTTTGTACAATGCTGTATGAAGCGACTATTTCTGTGACCCTAAGTTACCGCCAGAGGTGTGTTGCATAGGAATGTCACTACAAGGGTAAAATGGTTTAATCCACAAGAGACTTTGTTCTCAATAAACTAAACTAAAATTTTCCAGAGCTCCCAATTCTGACAATACCTGCAGGTGGGTATTGCTGGGCCCTGTGTTTCATTCAGTGAAGTGGGTTTTTGTAGCGCTTTCCCTGAAGTGGGTTTATTTTTGATGTTTGTGGAGAAAAAACAAACAGGAAAGAGCTGATTTCTTCATATCCTGTGTATTTGGTACGAAAGCAGAGAGGTTTTTCATACCAACTAGCCTGGCTTCAACTACATCCCAGCAAATGGGACTTGATACCTAGTGCCTATAAGTTTACACAGGTGGGACTGGTAAATCCAAGTCAATGGTGTGAAAGCAGGGACGAATGGCCTGCATTGCTGATAGCATCTTTTGCAGAGGAAAACTGAGGGCATGTTTGCCAGATGAAACCATACGGACAGTTCACATGCTGGACAGGAAGAGGTGTGGAACAAACTGAATTGGAACTGCAAGTGAGGATCCCTGAGAACTCTTCTCTAACAGGAGCTTCTACAGATTCCGTGTTTTCGTACCTCGATAGCTTTCGTTGGTAGACCAGAGTTCTTCGCTATGTACAAAAATTCATTCCTGGTGTCGCTAACAGGGACAACACCTGATGGCAATCACAGTCCTGCAGTAATTGCTTTGGAGCAGTTTTGCCCACAGCATTGCACTGATTGTAGGTCAGTCCTTATAATATAAAAAATTCTTATCTGTTGTGACAAAGTTCCTCCTCTATCTTGGTGGGTCCTGCGCTTATTGGC